AGTTTTCATAGAATTCAGGGTTGCAGTAAGCAGCTGGAACTCATTCTCAAGTTTGAGTAACTTTGTCTGTAAATCTTTGTTACTTTGTTCCAGTTCCCTTAGCTTCATATCATAAACAGCAGATGCCGCTGAGTTGGGCATGATAACGCTAGTATTGTCTATTTCCGAAAGATTATTAACTGCAGAAGTGATTGGTTTTTCCAGTGAAGAAAGAGTGGCTTTGATTACACCAACAGTGTCAGTAACCCCATCCAGTTTCAACTTTAAATCATTATAATTAGTTGCAAGTTTGGTGTAGAGTGTGTCACACACCTCACTGGTGATATTTCTGATTAGCACTTTCAAGCCGCCGCCAACATCATTACCAAGCGACTTCACGGAGTTTACACAGCCACTGCACGCATAAAGCATTACTCTGGATTTTAACCGGGTCACCTGAGCCTCTGAGGTTGAGAACCTTGAACAGGCCACGCAATTCCAGGACCCACAGAAGTCACAAATTATCTTGTATTCCACCTCTTTATCTGTCAAATTGATACGACATTTGGAGCACGCCGACATTGTTCTCAATAATTTGAGCCGCACGCTGAATGTAATATGGGACAGGCTATATATGGCAATAATCGAGGGTGAAACTGTGTTCAAATTAGATGAAACGCACTATAGATTTTATTGCTTTCAGCAATCTATACCACTCGTTGCTGTTCCTTTTTTTTTTTATTTAAATAAATTTATTCAAATAATGTATTCAAACAATTTAAACAGGTACCACAATTTTTTATCCAAGTAACCTTGATACTTTTGAAGCAATGCAGACTGAGAACAATGGGATAAGTAACTAATAATAACCGATTTGCTACCGTTAACACACGAACAATTCACAGAACGCGTAGATCACAAACCAAGCACAACTGTTGCGAAAATTCACAAATTAATTTTGAGTATGAAAGCAAGAAAAAATGAAAAACGACGGAGCGATGTAAATACTAGGACGACCAACGTCGTTTAGTCCCTAGGTGTATAATGTGCTATTATCTTGCCACATTTTTTCAACTGTATAGCTGTCATTTAACCAGGTTTCCTCTAGATACCTAATACTAGACCTAATAGGTATATGGTATAGGTATCTATTTATTCTATTCCGAAATTTTCTTATAGATTTTAAGTATTTCCTCCAACACAATTTCAGTCCTCTCATTCAACAGTGAGTTCGTATTTTGTTTTTCCCACTTAAGGTTCATTTCTTGTAGAATTTTCCACAACTTATGTCTTCCAATTTTAGGCACATTTTTATCTCTTTCAATGTCTGCCGGAACTTTATCCAAGGTGGTGATTTCCCTTTGGGAATTCCTTATTAAAATAAAACACATGTAGGTATGTATGTACTTTCTTTTTTTCTTTTTGGCTCGTTTTTTGCCAATACGTCAACAATCACATTAGGTCTTCCTGGAGCCGGTTCCGATTTTTTCAAATTCCCACATTTTTCTTTGCGTGAAAGTCTTTCGTCTTTCGAATCCTCAACATGTTTGAAGTCATTTCCACAAAAATTTCAACCAACGTCTCAACTTTTCCATTTTCCAAATTTGAATTTCGACGTTTCGTCTTTGACGGATACAGGTTTGAATTTTGTTTAAATTGTATCTGGAGCTTTTTGCTCCCCTAAAAGCAGTAGGTAACAAGGTAACACATTTGGCCATTGATTAATAAATTTTTTTTTTGAAACATAACGCTTCGAATGCATGACCATCTACCTATCTCTTTCCATTGCACTATTTTCACTAAGTATATCTGGAAATATTCAGAATATCCCAAATTTCGAAGTGGCTTCTTGTTGAACAAGAAATTGCACAGTTCAACCAAACCCGTAACTCTTACCGTTTCCTATATCACAATGGTTGCCCTCAAGAAACAGACCCCCTGTATAGCAAGATAATATGATTTGTGAAAAACATTCTTGTATTTTGATATTTTTGGCTTCCTTGTCATGATTTGAATCGATAAAATAAGTATTTGGCTGAATTTAACCTAGGATTCCTAGGTAACTGTAACTTGAAACTTGCATTTTCATTTGCTTTTCGAACTTCAGTTCGAACCTAAGAATCTAATATTGCTTTGTTATTCTTCAAGGCTCATTAACAGAAATGTGTTAATACTGTTAATGAGCCTAGCGAGTTTTTCTCAAGTAATAGCCATTAGCATAAGGTTTTTCAGCTTAAGTGTCAAAGATAACAAAGGCTCTGTAGTCTGTGCTGTGTTCGAAGTGAAAAAATTATAAGTGAAGTTTTTAGCCAATTATCTGTCAGCATTCACCATTAATAAATAAACACTAAAAATACTTCGATAAAATAAAATATACCTAATACCTTGCCTCACATGTAACACAGTAGGTATGTACTAGGAACGATTAACTCTTTAATTTTACTATTGTTCTACACAGATCAAAGGAAATCAAGTAGTAAATTTGCAATGTCTGTACGTGGGTCTGTAGATGGGTACTATACAGGATGAGTTACTAAGCGCATGGTGGTCCATAACTCCTATACTAACAGAGATCGAAGAAGAATCATTTGACACCACCAACTTTGAATTTAATCCATGATTAAAAATTCTGCCTAAATTATTAATCTCCGGTCAAAGTTGGTGTCAAATGATAGCTTATGAAAATCTATGACAAGAATGTAAAATCGGTTTTGCTGTAAAATCAACCGTTTAGGTTTTACAGTCTGTCAAATATGCAAAAAAGTCAATTTTAAAGTGTCACTATTTCCGAAACAGTTGTAGATAGGTATATGACATTGTACATAAAATATGTCTATAACTTTTCGCAGAATCCAGAAATGTCATAATATTGTCACAAGCCTATTTTGCTGTGACTCGGGGTTTGGGATCTTTTAGGGTTTTTAATGAATTAAAACAATAAGTTCCAAAACATTAAAAATAATTAAGTTTATTTACTACAACTAAAGTATTGATTAACCAACCAATGAGAACATTGAGAACACACTTCATTTATAAATGTTGAATAATTTTACTTACCAGAGACCCATCTTTCTGTAGCCCGTAGCACAACTTTAGCGCCCGAATTTAGAGTTACTGAACTAAAATTGACGTCTTATCGATCCAAATCGATTCAGAAATGTCAGCTAAAATCATTGACCTTAAACTTAGGTCGTTGGCTCTAATGGTTTTTGCAAACATCTTGATGCGTTTGCTTTATTCCATACAACATCCGTATTGCCCAACTAAATTGGGACATTACTTGTCAATGAACTTTGGTTATTTCGTATTGAAATAATAATATTGTAAAGGGTGATATTTTTTGGCTTGACAATATACAGGGGGAGTAATTTAAAAAAACATAACTATGAGTCACCACTATACCTATAACATAATTATACGCTCACCCCTATAATTTTTTTATTTTTCATAATAAACAAATGAAATTTGGTGTGTTTATTTATGACCCGGATATGCATTATTTGACGTATTCAATTTTATTTTAAATGAGACGCCAGGTATATTTTCCCTTATTTCAATAGAAAACTACATTACGAGTACAATGACACCTTATTTGTCACTTTTTGACATTTCATCTATAAATTATTTAAATTTTTACTTTTTAATCTAGAGCGCCATGTATTAGTTAAAATGCTCAATTTTGCTCCAAGGAACCTGGGAAAATTTGTTTTGATCTTATTTTGTATTTTATATCCTCAACAGATTCATTTAAAGATAGTAGAAGCGCATTTTTTTAATTATCTCAATTTTTTCAAATGGAAAGGGTGTGGCTCATTACAATATTCCAAAAGAGCGTTTTCTAATGAGCAATTCAGTACTACACAATCGCTAGTTCATCTCTCAAATACTCAAATGAAGAATTTTCCTAGCTTTCTAAATATTTTTGGAAAATTTTAGTTTAATATTTGAATAAACTAGCGATTGTGTGGTACTAAATTGTTCGTTAGAAAATGCTCTCTCGGAATATTCTAATGAGCCATACCCTTTCCCGAGCCCTTTCCATTTGAAAAAATTGATATAATTCCAAAAATGTGCTTCTACTATCTTTAAATGAGTCTGTTGAGGATATAAAATACAAAATAAGATCAAAACAAATTTTCCCAGGTTCCTTGGAGCAAAATTGAGCATTTTAACTAATACATGGCGCTCTAGATTAAAAAGTAAAAATTTAAAGAATTTGGAGATGAAATGTCAAAAAGTGACAAATGAGGTGTCATTGTACTCGTAATGTAGTTTTCTATTGAAATAAGAGAAAATATAACTGACGTCTTATCTGAAATAAGAAAGTTACGGTCACTTCCGGTCAAACCGGAAGTGATAATAAATAATTGAATACGTCAAATAATGCACATCCGGGTCATAAATAAACACACCAAATTCCATTTGTTTATTTGGAAAAATGAAAAAGTTATAGGGGTGAGCGGGTTGTATACTGGAAAATAATTTAGGAATGTAGTACTCATGTTTATCAACAAGTTTTGTATTTAGTTTTTTCTTCGATCTCTGTTAGTATAGGAGATATGGACCGCGCGCTTAGTAACACCCTGTGCATGATCACTACTGCACTGTACTTCTTGCAAGATAAATTGTATTTAATGTTTGAATCGAGGTTTAAATATTCAATGCATGACAGTGGTTTCCATTTCATAAATTTTATTATTATTTAAAGGCGGTTTTTGGCTAAGACAGTTGTTTTTTTTTTTTTGTTTTTATGAAAATTGCTTGATCAAAATGAACCACCAAAACCTCGACCAAAACTAAGTCAAATTAAAAAAAAAATCCCAAGAAAAACTTATATTCTCTTTTAGTTTGCACCAAATACAAACTAAACTGGCTTAAATAACCTAAATCCATTCTTAGCACAGTTTTTCTAGAGAATGAGAATATTAGGAAATTTATTCTACCTTATCTCAAAATGTGAATGTTTATCGAAAAGGTCCATTTGACTGTTTATTTATATTTTCCATTTATTCCTTTCAGCCATGAGTACCGCTAACCTAAGTACCTTAGATAGGATCCAACTGGAAATCAAAGAGTCAATTCAGCGTGAAAAAGAATTGAAAAATGGTTACCATCAAACCAACAATTACAATTCCGAAAGTTTATTAAACGGCTATCATGAGGAATCGAAAATAAAACCTGTACAAGAATTGAATAATGGCACGAATGGGTTTAGAAAATTCAAACCCAGCAACGTATCCAACAAAGGTGTCATGCACAAGTTTTTGAAATCTCGTGGACGCTTATCTTTGTCAACATTTAATTCGAGTAGTAATCAAAATGCCTGGAACTCGGATGCAACTTTTAAACCAGCTAAAATAACTGTAGAAAAGGGCAGCAAACCTTTGAGAAACGGCTTTGTGTCAGCTGAGCAAAAAATTACACGTGAACTGCAAGACTTTCAGCAAAGAGAATCCAGGCTGAGGGAAGAAAGGAAAAAAAGTCAACCGAACCTAATGGCAGCTCTACAGTTAGAAGAGGATGAGGAATTTAATGAGACTTATGGAAATTTGAATGGAGGACTTAAATCTGCAAAATCGATGGGAAATCTTTACAATAACAGTGATGATGGGTTTGAAGATAACAGTAGCTCGGCTGGTGGTAGTCTGAAACCAGCCAGGTCTTTGGCAGAACTTTGTGATTTATCTGATGACGATGAAGGTGGACTACCAGGTGAGTTATTTTAAAATATTTTTGTAATTTATGTTTTGCTGAAAATGAGCAGTGTGTTCTGATACAATTAGATTTCATTTGTAAACTAATTTTAATCAAACTCCAACACATTAACAATAAGAGCCTATATTTCAGACTATCTTGCCCAAAAATATCCCTAATCATCACCCTATCCTATTATATACAAAAACAACCAAGCAAAGAAAAGGTAACATGAACACTTCCAAGCACTGAAGGAATGCTGGTGGAAACAAAGAAACCCCTCATTGCTTGGAACTATATTTTAATTTTTTTGTCTACACATTTTATTACTGGATATTGAAATGGGATTTAGAGTCTGATTTTTCCGATTTTTCTATCTGTGCTTGTGCTATTACTTATTTATTTATTTATTTATTTATTCAAAGTATCAACAGCAGAGCCAATTACAGATACTGACTTAATAGTAATAATACAAGAATACAGATAACATTTAACATACTCTTAAAACCTACTTACAATCTCAACAAAGTTGATCAATCACAACATACAGAGAAATACAATTTAGGATGAATGCAGTTTCCTGTCAATTATCATTTTGAATGCCTTAAGACTAATAATGTCTATATCTACATCTGAGGCATAAAGGTTAAATACTTAGATCACACAAATTATAGATCGGAGAACACTTATAAAGATTGGTTCTAGGGTTGGCCAAGTAAAAGACATTTTTACTCCTTGAATTGATACGATTTATATCAAAAGGAAGCTGTTCCAAAATACCTGGGCAGTCAATATTATTGGTCAAAACCCCATACATAGTGCACAAGCATATTCTTATCCGCCTTTTCTTCAGTGACAGTCTATTGAACACACCCAACAAATAGTCATTGCTACAGCCACGCTGGGGATAAACTCCAAACTTTCTGAAATACAGACATTTCAAGAATTTTCGCTGCACACTTTCTATAATTACACTCCAATTATGGTATTGGGGTGACCATATTACGCTGCCATATTCTAAGATGGGCACAACGAGACTGTCAAAGAGAGATAAGCTTATGTCAATACTAAAACATTTTGTGTTTCTTGTAATGAAACCTGATACCTTCTGAGCACTAGAAATTTTTGTCAAAATATGTCCCGAGAAAGACAAAGCAGGATCAAAAATAACTCCCAGATCTTTTTGCTCAGACACTCTTTTCAGTTTTACATTACCTACAGAATAATCATAAATGACAGGATTTTTATTTCGTGTGAATGACATGCATACGGATTTATCAAGGTTCAACTTGAAACTATTCTCAGAACACAATGCGACAATATCAGACACCTCTCTCTGGAGGACTGCTCAATCCGTGATTGATGAGACTTCAATAAACAACTCCAAATCATCAGCAAAACCAAGTGACTCAACATTCCTTACTCCCAACAATACCCTGGTAAATGCGATCAAAAACAAAAGTGGACCCAGGTTTGACCCCTGTGGAATACCTGATGTGCTGATAAAAATTACCGATTTACAGCCCTTAATTTCAACATACTGACATCGTTTACTTCGGTCAGTACCCAAGTATGAATGAATCAAATCGATTATAATTTGAGGTACATCCATATCCCCCAGGCTTCTCAGAATTATGCCATGCCGGACTTTATCGAAAGCCTTGTCTAAATCAGTGTATACAACATCAACTTGTGATTTCCTATTCAATGCTTCATGAATGAACTGTGAGAAGTAGGGTTGGCAAATGACCAGTCAAATATCTTTCTTTCAATTGACCTAGTATTTGACCTGTCATTTGTCAAATTGCTCTGGTCAAATACTCCAATAGTGGGGAGCGTGATGCTATGACGGTAGCATTATTGCATCTATTTATTCCTGGTCTAGCTGCCAGGTATTACATAACAAGGGCAAATACTCAAAGAAAGAGATAGACAAGCTTTCTAATTATTTATTTTGAAATATTTACCTGAAACTCCTGAAAGTTACATTTTCAAAATCGGTTTATTCGCCTTCTGATAAACTCTCAGGTATGCAATCTAGATAATAACGCAATCTGTAATCCCATTGATCGACAAGTTATCCGCTGACCAATAGAATTATAGAACGGTACATTTATCAAGCATCAGATAGTCAGCAGCAAGTTTAGCTGAAGATGAATAAACCAAACCTTAGTGGTTTTGTTTTTCGTTTCATAAAAAAAAGTGTTGATTTTGTCCTTTTTAACAAAAGAAAGAAGTTTTGTTCGTTTCATTTCTAGAGAAAAATTTTGCTTTATTTTTTAAACAATAAACTATTGCTTTTGCAGGTAATTTTTTTTTAATTGGTCAAATCGATTTGGTCAAATATTCTAGCATCGGTCAAATTGACCGTCAATTGACAACTTCTGACTGGTCAATTGACCGAGGTGCCATCCCTAGTGAGAAGGTAGCGAGATTTGTAAATGTAGACCTCTTTGGCAAAAAACCATGTTGATTTAAGGCTATTTTATCCTTGACCTCAGCAAAGAGCATGTTGAAGATAATCATTTCAAAAATTTTGGAAACTGCATAGACAATGGTTATTGGCCTATAGTTTTTTATGTCTTGTCTAGGACCACCCTTATGGACAGGGATTACCTTGCTGCATTTCCACCTTTCCGGAAACACTGACGTGCCAAGAATTAGATTGAACAGCCTTTGCAGGGGAATGGGGATAAATAAATGATTCACAGCAACCTTTAAATATATATGATGGAACTCCATCAGGCCCTATTGAGTTATTTCCCTTCAACCTTCCAACTGCCACTTTTATATCACTAGACGAGATGACTCTGTTACAAAAATATGATTTTGATCTGCCGCCAGAATAGGTTGGGCACGAATCTGCGCCATCTATATAAACTGATTTGAAGTAGTCAGCAAAACCATTAGCAACTTGCTGGGTACCATGATAAGTAGTATCGCCAAATGTCATCTCATCCAGGACATCCGGTTTATCCTTTAAGCTATTAATAAAAGTCCAGAAGTTTTTGGGATTTGATTTAAGACACATTTCTATATCCTTCAAATATGTAGTATGTGCTTCTTTGATTTTAGCTTTAAGTGAACTCCTAGTATTGCTGAATCTAATTTTCCAAAATTGCGATCTGAACCTGTTCATTTTGACAAAGCATCTGTGCTTTTGTTTTATAAGTGAAATAAAGTCCCTAGTAAACCAAACCGGATACTTTTTACTTTTCTGTGTAGATTTAGAAACTGACTTCTCGAAGATATCATATAAAACGTTGTAAAAGCTGTCCAAGGCCAAGTTAACATCCGAGAAATGGTCTAGAAATTGCCAATTCTGAGACTGAAAGAGATTATACATCAACAGGAAGTTTGCCTTTCTGGAATTGAACTTTCTTGTAGGCAAGAGCTTGCACGGCTTTGACACAGTATTTGTTGACAGAATCACACTAATCTGTGATCACACTCAAACAGGGATGGTGGCTGTCCACTGGCAACAAGATTTCCTCTGTACAGGCCACTGATGTATTCTCAAAAGAAGCAATAACAACATCCAAGATAAATCATTAGCATTTCGAATTTGATTGCACTGGTTAAAGCCATTGAAAGCCAAGAACGCTCTGAAACTGTTAACCACATCATTGCAAGACAGTTCACTGATATAACCAGGGACATTGAGGTCACACAAGACAATTAATTCGGAATTACTTCTGTTAGCGATGCTCCCTTCTATTTTTTCATAAAAGTTTTCATATATACCATTTGAACTATCTGGAACAATATAGAATAATACCACGTATAAAGACTGATTATTTCCCAAATCAATTCGAACGCACAATGCCTCCTGATCATCGTCGAAAATATTCACCTCAGCAGCCTTGAGAGATCTCTTCATTAGAAAAAGTACATCACCGCCCTGGTTCTTTCCTGTTATTATCGAACTCCTATCCTTTCTAAATACAATCCTGTCATTGCCACAAAATTCTGAGGAATACATTGAATCGTTCAACCAGGTTTCCGTTAAAGCTATAATATCATAATTAGTACTAAGGAGATTAAGTTTTAACTGATTCAATTTCGTATTTATGCCCCTACAATTTTGATAGTACACTGATACCCTATTATCTAAGACTTGCCTGCTATTTCCAAAACCAGATGAATATTTGCATCCTGCGCACTACTGCAATGAGGTGATAGAACACTAATAGGAGAATTGCTACGCCCTGGACTATAAGAGTCGTTAACAAATGAATGGATACTGTTTGACATCAAGTCACTACAATTATTTTCAGTAACTGCCTTAGTTTTGAAAATATTTTCATCTAGTTTTATGTAGGCAAGAGGTTTGTATTTATTTGAATCTAAAATACTGACAATTAACTGAGATAGTCGAGAATTCGAGAATTTTTTTCCTAGACTATTACAAGACTCTATATAAAATAACTTGTTAGAAGTAAACTTGTCAAATTTAAAAACTAGTTGCTTAACTGTAAATTAAATTTATAACACATATTAGGACATTTAAAACATACAGGTGGAGAAGAGATAATGATATTAGTATGAATTAAAAGTTTAATAGTTTCCCTGATATGTGACAAATTAGGCGTTTCAAAATTTTGAAAATTATTGTAACCTGCGAATATAATAATATAGTCTTTTTCACCAAAGTTCTTTGTCAAACAATCCACATTCTCCACAACGGCATCAAAAGAAGCATATGGTATATGAATTCCTTTCCTACTCTCAATTGCAGCCTTGCTACCATCGATTTTGTCAGTTTGAACTCCTACGTCTAAACAAATCACTTTGGATTTACTTTTGTTTAACTCCTTTTTGGTACTTACTAACTCTGAAACATAGGCGTCATTCTTTTTGGACAGAGATAAGATATTGTCATTCAGGGACTTATTTATTACTTTAAGGTGCAAGAGTTCATTTTCTTGGAAATCTAATTTTAGTACTTGTGAGTTTAACTTATCAGTTATTATATTGTTTTTCTTAAGCAACTCAAGGAGTTCACCATTCAGACGAGTCAGCTCAAGTTTTTGCGCACGAAGAGTAGCTTCATAGCTTTTCTCTGCCTCAAGTACTTCTTCATCGATATTCTGAGTTCTTCGTTCAAGTTTCTCAATATGGTTGTCCTTAATGTGGTTCAAATTCACAAGTCGTTCAATTTCTTGTTTGAAGGCAATTTTAAGTTCCTCCATCTCGTTCTCCAGTGTATTAAAATAAATATTTTTTTGGTCTAATTCAACCGTTTGTTCATAGAATCGTTTCAAGAGGTGATCAATTTCTTCAAAAGACGATCTACAGCCACTACAGTAAAAAACTACGACTCTGTTAATGACACATAAAGCATCCGCCTCACTTGCAGATATATTTGTGCAGTCTTTACTTACATAAAAACTGATTACACCTGTCACAGCTGGTACCGAACACTTCACCTCCTTTAACATTCGGACGACGCTTGAAAATACAATTCTTTCGACAAATTCCACAATGTGAAGCCATTTTGCAAAAAAAAAAAAACAAATGAAAGAAATAAATATTTTTTTTTTCTACAGACGTCAAAAAATGATGACATTTTCACACTCATTTCCGTTCGAAAAATGCCACATTGGTTTTATTTATCTTAACGACGTGCACGAAATATTTCGCGCACTAGGGCACGAAATACTTCGTGCACGCTCAGTGGCGATATTTCAAAAATACATAAATGGACGAAAATTTAACTCATATTTTCTGGGGTACCTATCCACTTAAATTGAATAAGAGCAGGATATTGAACTTTTTCGATTCATCCTCGAAATACATTAGAATTACGGTTTTACTCACTTTTTTGACGGTTTGGTGCGAACATCATTTTTTGATTTTTCAGTCAAAAGGTTTGCTGCAATTGCAAAACTAGCTGTATTATTATATTGGGAACTACAAATTCTTCTACAATTTCTATTTTTAATTAACATTTTTTGCCGAAATGATGCCGCGTCGGTCAGACCTTAGGAAAAAACTTTGATAAGCAGTATGTCATGGTGCATGGTGTCATTATTTATTAAAAAAAAATTCCGTAGCAACCATTTAACATGCTGTTCTGAAATAGAATTTCCTTGAATTATTTGATTTTGATATGACCCAAAAATATTTCAATTCTGTCTGTAGAAAAAACGTTGTTTGCAACTCGTGTGCGAAATGTTTTTGGTGAACGAGAACGAAAGTTTTTTTTTTTGGAAATGGCATTTCGCGCACTAGATACAAAAATAACTATTTTTTTATTGATAACCTATTTTACTTATTTAAAGTACTCCTCAGCGTGTTTAAATCCAACATTCAAAAACGCGCGTGTTTTAAAGTTACCCATGGCAACATCAACAACCCAAGAAATGTAAAGTCTAAATAACAACTTTTTAATTATCGATTTGTCAGGAGTAGGTACTTGTAGATAACGTCAAATAAAATATAACAAGCACGAATTTAGCGTTCTACAATTACTAGTAATTTATGATTTGAACGTATACCAATAAAAAAAAATAGTGTAAAGTATTCGTGGATAACTGGTCTTTAAAACACTTGCTCTATTTCGAAAAATCGCGCGTATTTTAAAGACCTTAATATCCACTTATACTTTAATATACTAATGAAAAAATAAAAAATAAGATGATAATATAAACAGTTTAAAAAATAAATAAAATTGGAAATACAGATACAGATATTTAGGACGACTATTTACGTAGTTGAAATTATCGCTTCCCTATACCGGGTGACAATGAAACTACTACCCTCGGCGGCATTTCTTAACGGCTCGAGATAGAAATATGCAATTACGTATGTCGATAGGGTTGAAAATGTTGAACAATTTTAATATTAAAACAACTGAATGGCTTTGCCGGTTTCACCAGAAATGGCATTGACTTTGTTATTTTAAACGGGACACCCTATATATTATCTTTTTTTTGGACTCTCTGAACAATTCTAAATAACTTTTGTCTAACATACCCTATGTCAGAAATTGATAGTTTTTGAAATAGAGTGGCTCAAAAATATGTCGTAATTCCTATTTGTTTCTATTTTACGTAAAAACTGAGTATGCCAGAACAAAAAAAATCATGGTTATTTGCTCCTTATTCAAAGAGGCATCCGACAAATTGCATATTTCTATCTCGAGCCGTTAAGAAATGCTACCATGGATTTATATCGGGTCTTCAAAAAAAAAACCAATCGAAGATTGCTATGGATTTTTAAACGTATGTCTTAGCAATATTTGTCTTTAATTTTGTCAATGAAATTTAATGTCAAAATGTCCTGTCAAAAATCCTGACGAATAAAGAAACAGTTATGCGACTTACGTTTTCGTAGTCAAAGCAATCTTCGATTGGTTTTTTTTTTTGAAGACCCGATATATTTATACAGGGTGATTGATGGTCGATGGTAGGTTAGAGGTTTATGGAAAACAGAATGTTGGATATTTTTGAAAATTTGCATGCCCAAGTAATTGCTCCTGATCTATCATTCTAAAATAATTTCAACGATGCGACGTTGCCGCTTATACCAAAAAGTAATATGAACTTTAAAATTTTAAATGAGACACCCTGTATATTATTGCATTTTTCGCTCCGCTATTACTTTCTGATCATTTTTGTATAATACTGTCCTATACCTATCTCTATTGATTTTCGACTTATTAAATAATTTCTTTATTTTTTCTTCAAAACATAGCTCTAGTTAAATTTGTAATACTACGTCCCTGAGATTCGTAGAAAGTTTAAATTTCGGAGATAACTTAGGGAGGTCCTGTATATTACTTTTGAGCGAGAAAATTTGTTCTACATTATACTGGGTTGGTCAAAATTAGTAATTGTGCTGCCACGTACAAAAAAGATGAAAAGTGCACTTTTTTAAATAGAACACCCTGTATATTATGGAATATCATGAAAGGCAATTAAAATCCCTTACAAATGATGTATCATGTTCCTATACCTAAATAGTAAGGTTTCGGAAATACAGGCAAGTTTCTCTAAGAATTCGATTAGGTATTTAAAAATTATGTCTTATTAAATAGCAGTAACAAGTGTGGTAAGTGAACTTTTTTTCACGAATGTGCGACAATCAGTTGAGTAAAAAAAGGTACTGTACACACTTATTGCTTACAACATTTTTTCTATTATCAATAAAATATGTGAGAAAAATAAATTTAGACAAATACTTCACGCACTAGTGCTTGAAGTAATTTACCAGAAAAAGAAAAATACTAAATTGACAGTGTCGACATCTGTCATTGACATTACTTTACGCACTAGTGTGTGAAGTGAAATTTAACGTCTTCACAATAGTGCATAAAGTGAGTACTTTACGTGAGGTAGTAGAAAAAATACTGTCACAACCTATTTTGTTGCAACTGGGGGTTTGGGATCTTTTTTCCTTGACCGCATGTGGATTTTGATTAGCCCAAAAGTGTTGATTTCTCCGATCAAAAATACCTTCTCTAGAAAATTTAGCTTCATCGGTCCATATTAATTTTTTTTTAGAAAGTTTAGATACTCATAAGTGTGTGTCAGAAGTGTCTCTTAATATCGAATTTCACGTTGGTAATCATCCGGTTTCAGCTGTTGAACTTTTGTGAATTTAAAGGGATGCATATTATGATCGTTAAAAATTTTCTGCACATAATAATAGCTCAGGCCTAAATCACCTGCTGCACTTTGGATGGAAGCTTGGGGATATGCGTGAAAGTAGGCTGAAACATTCACGATGTTTCTTCATCAGACGTTACAGGCTTGGGTGAGCTTGGTTCATTCTTAAGTTTTGAACCAAATTGTATAAAGTTATTTTTTGTGCAACCGTCCGCAAAATTCAATATCGCGTCGCCACACCTGACGTGCAAAACGGGTCAAATCCTTGTCAAATTCATACAGTTTTTCTGTAACTTTACATAATTTTTATAGTTGCACAAAAAATAGTGTGTATACCATGACTGCGAAACTTTTTAGCGTGCTTGAGAGTATCTTGCCTCGGTCGCTTGCCTCGGCGATAACTTTTCTCTATGTACGCTAAAAAGGCATTTCGCGGCCTTGGTATACAAATAACTATTGTGTCCGAACAAATTTTCTTTCATTCATTGGTCGTAAATCAGGGTACATTTCGTTGAACTTTTTGCATATTCTTGCTACAATTTTTTTGCAGATTTCTTCTTTTTGACGTTTTGTAAAGTTTTGTTGTGGGAAAAACCAAATAAACTTGCTGACAGCTGATGGCAGGCAATTTTTTTAATTAAAAATTATTTTTGACACTAAAATTATCACTTCTGATTGGTCAAAATTAACAGGAAGGAAATAGTCATGGTAAAATGTATGGCCCACTTCCATAGATGCCTATAATACCTAAGACTTTTATGACGTCATTGGATTGAACTGTCAAAAACACCGTGAGTAGGAAAGAGAAAAAAACATAACAATGACAATATTTTTGCATATCACACATTGTAAAAAGTGGCCCATCTTATGCATTTATTTTTAGTCCTAGATAATAACCATGGTTCCAATAACCTGCCAATCATGTGGTTGGTATCGTTTGAATTACCTAATATGTTTCATCGTGACATAGCTATTTAATGACGATTCGGGTTGGTAGAATGAATGTAAAGAAAAAGTATTTCTATCTGTTTCTACAACAGACTGAAAGAAAGAGATGAAAATATACTCAGTGTGAATTAAATCTACCATTTGGAAACGCCATTAGACAAATATCTCAAAATAATCCAATTCTAACAGAAACTTGCCTGTATTTCTGAAACCTTACTATTTAGGTATAGGAACATGATACATCATTTGTAAGGGATTTTAATTGCCTTTCATGATATTTCATAATATACAGGGTGTTCTATTTAAAAAAGTGCACTTTTCATCTTTTTTGTACGTGGCAGCACAATTACTAATTTTGACCAACCCAGTATAATGTAGAACAAATTTTCTCGCTCAAAAGTAATATACAGGACCTCCCTAAGTTATCTCCAAAATTTAAACTTTCTACGAATCTCAGGGACGTAGTAATACAAATTTAACTAGAGCTATGTTTTGAAGAAAAAATAAAGAAATTATTTAATAAGTCGAAAATCACTAGAGATAGGTATAGGACAGTATTATACAAAAATGATCAGAAAGTAATAGCGGAGCGAAAAATGCAATAATATACAGGGTGTCTCATTTGAAATTTCAAAGTTCATATTACTTTTTGGTATAAACGGCAACGTCGCATCGTTGAAATTATTTTAGAATGATAGGTCAGGAGCAATTACTTAGGCATGCAAATTTTCAGAAATATCCAACATTCCGTTTTCCATAAACGTCTAACCTACCATCGACCATCAATCACCCATACTTATCAACTTGATGGTTAGGATTGTGGTTAATTTTATCTTCTAAATTTAAACCTGAAGATATATCACACATCTTCTTCTAAAGCTTTAGCAATAAATAGGCCATAATAAAATGACAATTAT